AATGAACTTAAATAGTGTTATGTAAGTACTGGCGCACTGTATGCAATCTTTTCTGGACTTGTTTAGTGGTTGAAATTATTTTAAAAATTTCATCATTTATCAGCTCTTCAGCTGTGGCTTTAGTGTAGCACTTTCCTGTGCTTGGATATGTTAGTTTTTGCATTAAACTGTGTATAATAAAGTTTGAATAGCTTTGAAAAAATTTATACAAGTTCTGCTGCTTAATTTTTTGTGTCAGCAGGGCTACAAAATGAGATTGCAGCCTTAAATGCACAACTGTGTATTCTGTGGTAGCATTCTGTACGTTCATAGAACATGCTACTCTTTGGACTTTCCTGGGTTTTATTCCCCTTTCGTTTTCCAAACTTCTCCTCTGTCTTTCTGCAGTTTACCTTTTCCTGCTTCAGTCAATTTGGTACAGACATCAGGATTCTGACTTACTTGATGTAGGCAGTTAGTGAATATTTTAGTTGCCATGTAAAGAACAAACCGCTACTGTTAAGGCAAAGTGGAAACTTTGTCTAATATAATTTCAGGGCAGTAGGAAACCTGAGAACAGCTATCAGGCAGATCTTCCTTGGCTTTTTTGTTTTCCTTTTTTTCTTAAGTTTATAGCCATTTGTGTTCGTTAGGGTTTCTTTGTTTTTAGATGCTTGCATTTATACTTCATGGTTCACGTGGCTCAAACTGGTTCATATGATTCACATCATAAAATTTCTATGTAAATTGAAGTCTAGAACTTAAGATTGGGAACAACAATAGTGCTACATTTAAAATTGTTACCAGTCTTTTTTAAGAAAAATGTTGAGTTCTGCCTGTAAGAGTTGACGGCTTTTTTTGTTTATTTGTCTGTTGGAAGGGGGTTGTTTGTTTGCTTGTTTTAAGAAACGAAAGAGTAGATAGGAAAAGAAAAAGGAATCATCCGGTAATGAAACCTTTTAAAAAGAGTTTGGTGTCTTTTTCACTTGGGGTTGAGGGCGGGAGAGATGTCAACATTTTAGTACCTGACCTAATGAAGTTCTGGCCCATGGCCTCCGCTGAAGCGTGGCTGTTTATAATGTATTCCTCTTAACTATGGAGGAAGCTCGTTTGATGTAAATCATGTACCATGGAGGAAGCTCATTTGATGTTAAGTCACGAGCTTTTTGAAAATGTATATGGGCATGCATGGCTTTGTTACAAACTTACCTAGGCTACTAACATGAACAAGCAGGATGAGCTATTTCTCCCATGGATTTTACTGTTCGGCCTTCTTAATAATATCTTGTGCTGAGTCATTAAAATACAAATGCCTTAAAACAAATGGGGATCTTTAATCTCACCACTCCTAATAGCTACAGGAGATTAGGTGTTTGTGCATGGGAGAAGGAGTTCTTATAGTGACCCAGAAAACAAGTTCCCGGTTTCGGCATTAAAATGTAGTGCATTTGTTTATTTTTTGCACATCAGAGATGGTATAAAGCTCTTCAGAACTTCATTGCGTAGATGCTTCTGTTAAGTTATGAGGTCATTTGGGCAACTGCTGCATCTGTAACTAGGTGTGAATGTGTTTTGTTTGAAATATGTATTGAGGTCTTCCTTTCTTAAAATAAGAATGCCTGTTCCTTTTCATTTCTGAAAAGTTGATTGTGTATGCTGAGTCTCATTCAGGGCTTGGTATTCAGGAAATTTGTTCCTGTTTATAGCCTGCATGTTTTGTGTGGGTTTACTTGTTCATTTGTTTAGTTTTTTCATACTTCCACAAGGGAGAGATGAGACGAAGAGGCTCTGAATTCTTTTGCACTTTAATATTTCCTACTTGTCAGGAGAAGAGAATATTGTTTTGCACTATTGATGACTGTTCTACGGATTCCAGAAGAACAGTTTCTGAAAATGAAATTAGTTAAATTAGCTCTTTTCAGAAAAGAGTAATGAGAAATAGCTGAATGTATTGTAAGCTTTACAGAGTTTCTCAAGCACGTCCATATACTTCTAAACTTCCGTACACTTCCATATACTACTAAACTCGAAACACAATTTGAGACTAGCAAACTGCAAGTCTTGTTTTATAGTTGAACTCCAATTACTCTTGCTACAGACCTTTATTGTCCTTCACAACATCCTGTGTCTGAGTCTCCTTAAGGGAATTAAGCTCAGGAATTTCAAACCCTCTATCAAACAGCGAAGACTGTGGTTTGTACAGGGTTTTCTTAACACCACTTATGATTGCTCAAAAACTTTGCTTACTGTAATCTTCAAAACCTTTATTAGTGAATTAAATGAATCATTTAACTTTTAATATGGGTTACATTTAAACCAGTACAAGACTAGACTACTACTGAACAGAGCTGTCTTCATTGCTGTAGCTGCATGTTTCCATCGCTTCTCCTTTTTTTCAGCATCAGCAATCATGTGATCACGTGGTTAGGTGAATTAACTTATTGATTAGGCTGGTTTTGGTTGCTTTGCTCACTGTAGGACTGAAAACTATTTTAGTACCATATTTTTGTTGGTACTGACACAATGAAGATGAGAAGAAAACATTACTAGAGATTGAGAGCTGAACTGTCCATTTCAGCGACAGTATGACTGGCTGAAGCAACTGAAAAGCAATCTTTTTTTTTTTTTTTTTTTTGGCCCAGAAAGAACCATCGGATAAGAAACAGTTTAAACCAGAACTGGTATACGTACCACATAAACAAAGTCATGCTTGTGACATACATGGTAGAATGTTTTAGACAAACTCTTCCGAAATTAAGCATACATCTCCTTTGGTTTTCCCAGTCCATTGGGAACCTGAGCTCTACTCTGATTCTGGTAACTATTTATTCAATCCTCTAAAATGAAGTGATTAATCTATAATATAATGTGTTTCTGGTGACAGATGACCTAATAACTAGATACCTGAGTGATAACTTGAGTAACGCATCTCTGGCTTGTGGCAGGATGTGGCAGTTTTTAGACCTCACTTCGAAATAGGTCTGACCAGATACTAAAGACTTCAAAGACTAAAGTCTTTGAAGACTAAAAAAATAAAAGTTATCTGCAGAGACCTAAGAGGTTACCTTTTTATCTTTTCGAAATGGCTTTTCAGTTTTTTGTCTCAGATGCTCTGTAAAGTATATTGTGATAGTTCATAAGGGAGTTCAAGTTAGTATCCTCATAAAACATACTCTGATTTGGCAAGGTCTTTCAGCATAGCCTAGGACTGAACTCCTACTTGATTCCCAGCTGTTAGTAGAATGAGCATAAGATTAATCAATAGCCTGTGATGCTTCAACAGTCAAGACATTGCCAACTCTACTTTTTTTTTATTGTATAGGAAATCAGAATCTGAGAAGTACTATATATGTGTATATGTAGTTATTATTTAGGCAAATCAGAGAGTTAAAAACACTTGGAAGCTTTTAAAATGTTTTACAATGTAAGATAAATGTCAACAAAAGAATTCTTTAAATCTTTTAGAGCATTGAATAAATTCTTTTGTTTGTCTTAAAAATCTAATGTTGTGTTGTTAATCCAAAATGGACGCTCTCTGAGGAAAAAAAAAAAAAAACAAAACTTTTGAATCGCTGTATGGGAACACCTTGAAATAGAACTGGATCACATAAAATAACTTGTTAAACAGAAGTTCATTAGTTCTTAACCTTCTTTGCAGAGACCTGTATAGCAGACAGATTGAAAGAATTAGAACTTTAAAAGTAGTTCATAATTATCTTCTAATGCAATGCTTTATGTAGAGGCATGCGATGGTACGCAAGAAGTTTGTTTAGCTATTTCTGAATGAGCAGAGATTGTGATGACCTTTAAGACTATGATTATAGAATGGCTTGAATGGATAGTTCTTTTTTACCATTTTAGAAGTATAATGGTCATACATCTTAAAATTATTATAAGGAAGTAAATATTCTGAGAAATGAGTTCAGGTTAAATTGTTTTTCTCTTTACAGTCTAAGGTCTACAATAACTGATTGTTAGCTAGTTGCATTGTCTTAAGCCAGTTCATTTCCCTTGACAGTCTTGAGTCTATAGTGGATCCTTGATTTAAAAAAGGAGGGTGAAGGGTGTCCAGTTCTCCTTCTGCCATCTCCCCCTGCTTTGGGGACAGCTTCAGAAAACTACACATTAAACCTCATAATTTATCCACTTCAATTAAATATGGGAATGGCTTAATAAGTACTATACTTAAAGAGTAAGCAAACCAGAGATAGACTTGTAGCAGCCCAGCTTGTACAAATACCAAATCAGGAGCAAGTAATATAAAAGCTTTCTGTCACCTTTTCATTGCAGTTACGAAATGAAAATAAAACAGTCTCTAATGTATACACAGTCAGGTGCCAAGGGAAGGACAGTCAGATAATCAAATATTACTGATTTTGGTGCCAGAACCAGACAGGATAATTTCAGTATGAGCTTATTTAAAAGTTCTGTAACGCCTAAAGATACCAATGGAAAGACTTCTGTTAATTTTCGGTAAGAATTAAATAGGGTCATAAGAGAATGCCTACTTTGCTTTACTTTGCGTATTTGAAAAGGATTTTCAGTAGTGCTGGACTTACGGGTGCAACGTTGTATACAGATGAGTCTTGTGTTGACATTATGACTCTGCAAGTTTTGTAACGCTTCTTTTTTTTTCTTGATTTTTCTACCCAGCTTCTCCAGACTGACTGTGACTGTCTTAACATACTACCTGTGGGAAACATTACATAGACTGATTTGATAATCCCTTTGGCATTTCCCATACTATAATCTTCACCTTGTTAACGTTGCCTGAATTTCCATCCTAACTTTAAAAACTGGACTGCAAGAGCCTCCTAATTACAATATTACATTTTGAAAATGAAGTGTTTTGTAATTTCTCATGTTCTTTCCTTTCAGTCGCATAAAAATACTTAAGAGTTAACAGAACGATAATGATATGCATATGTGTATATACACACTTTTTAATGAAAATATGTAATTGTTAGTGAAAACAGTGTGGTTTCTGGTTTAATGCAGTGTATTTTTATGTTATGTTACAGGTCTGTCAAATGGTTTTGGAGATGGAAGTAAAGAGAGAACACTGGATGATACTCCTGGAAGAAAAGTTGAACCTCGTCGCCGTTGTGCTTCGGAATCTAGTATCTCATCTAGTAACAGTCTTTTATGTAATTCAAGGTAAAAATGCAAATCTGAAATACGAAATTGAGGTTGCATATGTCAATTTTCTATACTACTTGTGACCCTTATTGGAGGATCACAGCTATTAAATGTCTCTTTCTCTCTTTTTTAAGTTGTGTGTCAAATCTAAGACACCTTTGAGGACTGCTAGGATTCATTTATTATATTCAGACTTGCAGATCCAGGCGTTTGCAGTTGACTGGGCACATTCTCACTCTCTTGATCTCTTTGCATATACATATATATGGTTGTGTGTTTATATAATTTTATTTGTTTTAATTACCTTTCCAATCCTAAAAACTAAAAATGAGTGTGTTTAATTGGGGGGATTGGGGACAGTCCTTAAGGAAAGTGAATTCCAAAGCCCAGTCTTCTGCCCAGGGAAGATAATTTCCGTAGCTGCAGAACTCTAGAATATTAGCCCATAATTGAGTTACTGGCCAGTTACTGCAATGATGATAGTACCTACGCACGAACTGTTGACCACCTCTTTGTGGAATCTTTTGTTAAAGATCCTTGAACTAGACGAGAAGAGGTCATACGGGACTGCGCATTCCTTTGTGTGCTTTAGAACAGGAAGGAAGGACACTTGTCTGTCAGATGGTGACCTCTGTCATCATTGATGCATGTTTCTGTCACCAGTGCACATCTTCCAAAAGCATACTAATTTCTGGGTAAAAGGAAGCTAACTCCAGCCCTAGGATGTGAGAGTTGGAAGGAAGTGGAGTATATACTCCGTGTATATATAGGAGGCGTGAGGTTTGATAGATTTGGTTGGGGCCGTGAAATGGCAATTATTTTTCGCTCTGCTGGCCTAGAAACGTGATCTGTTGACAGTACACAACTTTCAGTTGTTCATGCAGCGTGGGAGGTGATGAGGTTGAAAATAATGTAATAGAAGAATGGAGCTTGTTAGAGTGGGATGAGGCATACGACAACGTAGGACAAATCCATTGAAAAAGGCTTTGTTCATCTGCTCGTGCCTGCTATTAAATTGCTTAAGGGGATGGGGTTAATGCATTTGTGTCAAACTGACTTTAAGACAAACAAAGAGAATTTAATAGTCCATCTCTTGTGAATGTAATACATTCAGGATACAATTTAGAATAATTCCTTTTCAAATACTTTGATTTCTTAAGGAAAATTCAGGTGTGCAGTAGAGACTCCTGAGAAAAATCTTTCTGCTTATGTAGGGACATTCCTATCTGCAATTGAAAGATTTGAATTTGTAATGAAAAATGAGAGAAAAAGTAATTGCATTTTATACATAGTCGGGCAGTTGGAGCAGAGGGAACATGTTACAGTGGATATTGGCTAAATGGAAACACTTGGGACAAAGCACCTTCTCTCATTTTGTGCGTGTACAGTCTGCACTGCAGTTGTGTTGCAGACGCATACCGTTTGTCTTTTGCCAATAACCAGCCAGTTATGTACACAAAAATACTCTTTTTTAGCTTTTATATTGTTGGTTAATTTGTGCGTGTTTTATGAAATAAATCAGAGCTTGCTGCTGTCGTTGCAGGATGTACTGATAAATTTTAAATTCCTGTTCAAAGTCTTGATTTGTGGTAAATGAAGTTAATTATCAGGTAATGGCTTTAATATTTTCACAGTTTCAGCCTACCAAAGTGTGGTAAGGGTAAACCAGCACTTATACGAAGACACACGTTGGAAGACCGAAGCGAACTGATATCGTGCATTGAAAATGGAAACTATGCCAAAGCAGCAAGAATTGCAGCAGGTAACTGCAGACAATTGTATTCTTAAGAATACGATATAATTACATTTTATCCATTTACTTAACAGATTCCAACTTTCTTGTTTTCTCTGTTGAAATACATTTGAGCATTGTGAAAGTGGTGTTCATAGCATTGCAGAAACTACTGATGTCTGCTCTTGAGTTTTTAAACTTTAAAGAGAATATAGTACCAGATTTTTTTTGAAAGCGAAGTTGGATTTGATGTAAATAAGGCTACTGTAGTAGCACAAGCCAAACCTGGAATGAGGTACTGTTTGTGGTTCTGTCCGCATTTTTTCTTTGCTGAGCTTTTTATTCTGAGGTTTATTCTTTATATACTCTTTTGCATAAACGTGTTGAAAGATGAATAAAGACGTGGTTCCCTTTTATCCAGGAAAAATTTGAAATTGGAGAAAATTTTAAAAGCAGGAAATTTCTAAGAACAACATAATAGATTACCACATGTTAGGGAAAATACTGTGCTTGGTGGTATGTTCTCCACGAGTTTCTGTATTGTAATTGTATTTCATGGTTTAAATAGGTAGTCTCATCCGTAAGAACTGTATTTGTGGAATACAGTGTTCCCTCTGCATCGACCTGGCTGTGTCTGTCAGGCCTGTTTCCAGTTTCTAAGATTAAAACTCTTCCCCCTCTCATCTGTGGTGTTCCTTGTCCAGGACTCCTTCAGGTTTTTCTGGTGCTTCTGTATGACTGTTTACCTTAGTCTGTTATGTTCTCTCCATATGATTAGACTTGTTTTATTTCTTGCAGCTAATCTATTTTCATCTGCTTTTTGTTTGCTCACAGGTTTAATATATTTATTTTACGTATTGTAACCTGTTATACAAGTGTTTAAACTTTTCTTTCGATCTGCTTTTCTCCCCCTCTGTCCTAAGCAGTCTTGTATTTAATATTTTCTACTTGGAAGTCCTGCACTTCTCTTTTTCTGCCCCCTTTCTTTTCCACCCCCTTTCTCTTTTCCTTCATCTCTTCTTCATTTTTCATTTGTTTTTCATTTTTTCATTTTTTTCTTCTTTGTACCCTGAACTCTTCTTGTTCTCTCTTGATTACACTTAGCAACATTATTTTATATATTATTATACCTTCCCTCTAACTTGTGCTGTTTTGGCCACCTTCTGCATTCTGATACCTCAGCAGATCAAAAGCAGGAAACAAGTAGGAGTGAAGTGAAATATCCTGCATCCGTTCTGTGTGTAATTGGAAATTTATCATGATTTACTATCACTAGTAAAATCCCTGATTTCACAAAAACTAAGCTACAAGGTCGTCCATTCTTAGCAAAACGTCTCAAACAATTTTACTTGACAGAGTGTACATACTTCAGGAATAAACACTGTGCATACAACTGTGCTGGTCTGACTGCTTTGAGAATTGATTAGGGGAGCAGGTAATAGGGGAATATTTCTCTGCATTTGTCTCAGATAGCTTTTTCCTTTGCATGGTCTTCATTCCAACGGGTAAGTCACTGACAGAGATCGAAGAGAAGACTTGCCCAGCCAGGAGTTACACAGTAAAAGGGAAAGTCTCAATTTATATCATTTTTGGTAAAGCATGATCGTTTGTTCTGGAAATATCACAGGTACCTCTTGATCAGCAGTAGGATTGTGCTATGCTCAGGATCATTGGATTTGCCTGCAGCCTTAGGTGTTAAAATCAAAGTAGTCTCTGTATGCCTTGAAAAAGGAAAGAAAAGAGAAGAAAACAACACTGTGCACACTTACTCAAGCCGTGTTTCAGTAAATAGACTTTCCCGTCTATTTCTAGTTTAAAACAAAGTTCATTAACAACTGACTTATGAAAAGCTCACGTTCCTTTCTGAAAGCTGTGGTTTGAAGCTCTTAGCTCTGAGTTTTGATGACATAAGTGGCTTTAAAGTTTTGATGCTTATGGCACAAACAGCTAAATGGTATTTTTCTTTCTCAGGTTTCCCACATGGAGTTAAACATCATTTTCATTAGGAGAACGTTCATAGGAAAAAAAAAAAAAAAAACCCACCACCACCACTAGTTTTAAAAATGTTGCAAGAGGTAGAAAGTCAGTAGAGGGAGGAAAAGAAACAAACAAACAAAACAGGCAAAACTACTAGCCATGCATATTGGTGTAGCAACCCCGATCACCAAACGGAATAAATTCTTAGAATGAAGAGATTGCAGGGATCTCCCTTATGGGTTGTATACCTGAGAATTCTCTGAGGGAGCCTTGCTATGTGTATCCAGTGAGATTATTCATGCCTCCCAGCATTTAAATGTTGGCGTTATTGCATCACCTCTGCAGCTGAAAATAATGTAGGCTTTAAAGTTTTTCTTTATTAGCTGCCCTTGAGAACAAGACTTGCATTGCTTATGCAGAATGGTATCTGTTACGTAAATGTTTTCAAAATACAAATAGTCTGTGTATGAAAGACACATTCATCTAAATGTTTATGACTGCGTCTAGCTGTTAATCTGAATATTCAGTGTATTGGTATTCGTAGAGCAGAGAAATAAAGAAGTTGCCTAAATTAGCTTTTCTGTTGTATTGGAAGTTACTTTGACCAACTCTTTTATTTTGAGATGCTACCAAAATTGTTCGTTTGCATTTGGCATGTCTTTCCATAATATCTGGTAAGCTATGTATTTACCTATGCTGTCAGAAGTATAGGAATGGCTGTATATATTATTTTTGTGCGTTATACACCTGAAAAATATTATTATGTCTTTTCATGAGAAAGTGAAGAATGTCCTAGACAGACCCTTTAGTTTCTCTAAAAATATACACGAAGGAACAAATAGGAGTTTAACGAGTCAATAGATTTAATAGTAGTTTTTCCAAGGTTGTATAGCTCAGTAAGCAATGGCTCCTGCTGTTGTGTCAAGTTATGATATTTTGCTTAATAACAGTGGGTGTTATATAAAGTTGGGAATCTCTAAAATTGTATTTCCCAGTAAAGTATTTTCTTGGTAAAGCTGACACTGTTATTGATTAAAAATAAATTATGAATGAAAAGCTTATGTTTGAAACTTATCCTAGAGTATATTGCAGAAATTGACTGCCCTCTTCCGCTGATTTCCTTAAGCACTTTCTCTTTGCTGCTTGTACTTTTATAAGGTTTGAGGCCACCTTCTACTAATACTTTTCTTGATCTTGAGATGGAACATATATCTGCCTATCAGGTTTTGTTGCACTTATGGCATGTGTTACCCTTTTTAAATGGGAGCAGATTCGGGAGAACTGAAGAAAAATTTTAGCTTGGCAAGCAGAGAGCTACTTTTATCAAGTATTTTAGCCTCAGAGCTAAAAAATTGTGACTGTAACCTCTGAGCTGCATTTTTGGTACCCAGTTTTCTCCTATGAGTGCCTCATCTTTCCAGCTAATGAATTTTTTTCATTTCCATCTTCCTACTTTCTCCTTCCCCAGTTACCTCTTGAGGGGATAACTCGATGACCTTTCTTACCCTGTGTGTCTTTAGGGGGCCATGGTTCTGGCTGACTGAAGGACTTAAACCCATCTTGTCCTTCAGTCTAATGGTGAGCTACAGAGAAGAGAACCGTAAGAACACTGGTAGAGGAGAACAGTAACATAAATTCAGTTGTCTGTTATCTTACCTGCAGAGAAGGGAAAACCGCTATTGCAGCTACATAATTCCTTGCATCCTGTTGGTCCTTTTAAACTCTGTTGCATGAAAGAGCTAGACAGAGAACAGGAGGATGTATGTATCAGACAAACATTTTAAATTGTCAGGTGATAATTTTGTTGTACATTATATGCAATTCTTTTGGAACATCCGTGCAACCCGCATTTTCAGTGCCTCCACCCCTTTGACAGGGCTGCCTTAGCTTCAGAAGAAACTAGTGGTTTGGAGTACCTTAATTTCATATTTTGAGATTTTTAAAAACTGAAATTATTATTAGAATTTGAACGCTTGTCTTCTGAGAATTAAGATATTTTAAGATGTGCAATCTCTATAGGCTTCTAAAAATTTGTTCTTTAACTGTTGACTTGGATTAAAGTACTATTATTTAAAGAGATGTTGTGAACATTTTCTGTTTTTTTTTTTTTGGTATGAGGATGAAGATTGGTATTAAGATACATTTTGATTCTAAAGATCATGAGGTATGGGTAAGAAAACAACTGAAGAGGGATTGTTTGTAGTATTAATGTATTGAATTACTATTTCTTCTTAGAAGTTGGGCACAGCAGTATGTGGATTTCAACTGATGCTGCAACATCCGTTCTTGAGCCTCTAAAAGTGGTATGGGCCAAATGCAGTGGATATCCCTCTTACCCAGCTCTGGTGAGTACAGAGCTTCCCACCACTAGCATACTAGTGATACTGTTTAAGTGTTTGAACACTTAATAACATGGTACCCTACGTACCAAGCGGTTCTTCCATCAGCCTAGTTAGTTTTATGTTGTTAGTTGCATTATATTTTATTCTATCTTTGGACCTTCTTCTGAAATAATTTGTGATTGTCATTACATGTTTGAATGGAAAAGTGAGTCGCCTTTTCTGATCATTAAATTGCTTAGGCAATAGTTTGAACACTACTTTAGGATTTTTTCCTGCTTGTTTGCGTTTTTTGCTTGGTTAGGGTTTTTTGTGCTTCAGCTGCTGGAAGAACATGCCACGCACTCAGAAAGAGATAATCATACCCGAATATAGGCTGTCTCTTTAGGTTGTCTGAAATTCAAAACCGCAAACTTGAGATCAGTTATCGCTAGCTGTTTTTAGAAACCTTCGTTCGAATTTCTTATTCTGAAACCTGTTTGTCGATCTGCAAAATTGTACTAAGTGAAATTCAGAAGTGACTTAAAGAAGAGCTAGTAAGGGTAGAAAATGCTCTATAGATAGTTGGGGTTTTTTTTCCCCCTCTGGCCCCTGTTTGTTTCAATTAATTTAACCCTCATACCTATTCAACTTAAGCTAAAAAATTAAAAATGTATGTAATACAAAGCCTATTTATATACGGTGGCTCTTCAGTTTATGGTTCTTTTCTGATTAACTTTATTCATAATAAAAAGGCCCTGGATTATGTAGTTTTAAAAATTAGAAACTGTCCTTTTTTTCTGTTTTTATAGATTATTGACCCTAAGATGCCTCGTGTTGCTGGCCATCACAATGGTGTTACAATACCAGTGCCACCTCTGGATGTATTGAAAATTGGAGAACAAATGCAGACCAAATCAGATGAGAAGCTTTTCTTAGTACTGTTTTTTGACAATAAAAGAAGTTGGTATGTTATTGAAACATATTGGTTAATGCAATGACTTTTTAAAAAACTATTTTAAAAAACTATTCCTTAAGTCTGAAAGAAAACTGAAACACGCTTTCCTATGGATGTATATATTTGAATCTGTTCTTGGACCAAGGCGTATCACCACTGAAAGATGTTTTATTTATAGCCAGTTTGGAAGTAAATAATATAAGATTTATGAGCCTTCTATTTTTGGTCTTGACTTGGCTAAATTGTTCGTTGGACTAAACAGAATTTTTTTAAGTTAGTATTCTTTAGCATTTGTCTCTGTCAGCCTTCATCTTTGCTTTCCAAACGACAACACTTTTCCCACTCTGCTCAGGTGTACTTTCTTTACGTTTATGATCTCCACAGTTAAATGCTTCATTAACGCTCTTATTTGCAGTTCTTTGTCCTGTTTCAGTTCTTCATCAAACCTTCCTTTTTCTCCATTTCTTTCAGTATCAGCACTATCCTATGTGGAGTCTGAAGGGAAAATGCACACACACAACATTTTTTTCTCTTCTGTTAGTTGTTTCATTGATTTGTTTGTTCATTTGTTTTCTGTTAGATACAGAAACTTCTCATCTGCTACTTTTTCTTCCTTTCATCCAGGCCTCTCTTTCTTTCATGTGTTTTCCTTAATCCCTCTCCTTTTTCGGTTTCCTCACAGTTCAAGCTACCTTTAAATCTTTCCGTATCTTTGTTCTACTCTTGAATTCACTTATGTTTCCAGATGCTGTTTTTCTTATTAGCTGATTAACTGAGATGTTTAAAAATGCTGCCATCCTTCTGATTCTCTCTGTCCCAGTACGCTATTGCCTAAGTGACTTCCTGCCTCAGATTCAGAACTGGTGATTCCTTTCTGTCCTCTTAGATCGTTGGCATAATCATGATTGTTTGGCTTACTTCTTCCTGTTCGTTGATTCTTTTCTTAATTGCTGCTTTGGCATATCCTTCAGAGGATTTTCCTTGTTCAGTTGTGCATGATTCTGTGAGATTCTGCTTTCTTCTGCCTGTCTGTCAGTGGAGAACATGTATTTTTCAAAGAGATTCAGGTATTCTGAGTCTCGTGCTTCTGTCATTGGTACCGCATGTGTAACACAAGATCTCTCTAGCCACTTTCTTAATCACTGCTGTCACTGCCTCTTGCATGGTCTTGGGAGTCCTTTAACCTCTCCTAGGATAACCCAGCTGTGAAGACCAAGTTTTTCAAATATACATATCCTGAATGGATGAACAGGAAAGGCTAAGTATTTTTTCAGGCTTTTTTCTATGTTTTGACTAATGTACTGCCTTTTTCTTTAACACTTCTTTTATCCTGATTATTTCAGCCATTTCAGCACTCATCACGCTAGCTCGTTTTTGCTTCCTTTATATGAAATGTAAGCTGACCTTGCTCTTCAACCCATGTCTAAGACTTACCCACCTCAGGTGTATGTCATCATCAGTCTGTGATACGAGCTTCTGTAATCTATGGATCTTTTCAAATAAACATATCTCCCCCCCCACCCCCAGCTCTGTCCCTTGCATTTGGAGGCCTTTCTGAAAGCTTGCTCTAAAGAGTGCGTTCTTAAAACTTTTCTCATGATCTGTACTAAAATGATCATGATTGGACTGCTGCCCATCATGCTGAACACTGATGTTACTAATCTTTGCAGTTCTATCTGTATCCTTGTGTTGTCTTTTTAAATATTTTTGGTCTCAGTCTGTGTGCTCAGTACGGTTGGGTTGTAGTCTAGAGCACTGTAATACAAATAATGTTTCATGAGAAGCTTTTTCTGTTACTCTTGGTGGGGGGGACGGGACTCAGATGAAAATGTTAATATTGGATACTTTAACATCTAATTTACAGTTTATTAAGTTCTAAATGGCCTCTCAAACTGAAATCTTTAAATAGAAGCATGGTTCCTGCCATTTGCAGGGCTGGAATTGTAGACTGCAGTAACATTTTAATAAATGTTTATTAGTTCATTGACTTTTCTTCTTAATATATGTAACTTAAGAAAACAAAATTAATTAAAATGCTATTTTATGGACATGCACAAAATATATTAGATAACTTTTTATTTAAACAGTTAAAATGTTTTTTCCTTCAACTAGAAGCATGGAGTGTAAAGCTTTTTCCCTTATCGCTCCTCTATCCCCAGTAGTTAATGGTATTCCTGGAAGTTAAAACAGAAAAGTACTCTGAATACTGACTTATTGGGATTTCATACTGCAGGGTAAAAAGCATGCTGCTTTTCCACATAAAGACCAAACTGAGATGTCTTCAAAGCGTAAGGCAAAAATTCATCATCTGCAAATTCCTTGTAATACTGGAAATGAAAGAGTGAAGAAAAGTTATACTGTGTCAGCTGAATCTTGAGCCACGTCCATTGTTAGTTGCAGTTGTCCTCAAAATACATTATCAGTATTTAATTATAGTTCTTTTTAATTGGTATTTGTCATTACACAATACATTATTTGTTGAATTTGAATGCAGTCTTTATTTCATGAAAGACGCTTACTTAGTGCTACATCTCTTTAAAAGAAAGATTTAAGGCAGGTAAGTACCAACTTAATTGGAATTTTGTCACTTCATTTAAGAAGGCAAATTCTTGACTCACTAAATGAAAAATAAGATGTAACAGCCCTTACGGTGGGCAGACTGGATGAACCTCTTCATTTTATTCTGTATTTAGCATAATTAATTATTTTGCTCTTTCTTACAGGCAGTGGCTTCCCAAATCCAAAATGGTGCCCCTTGGGATAGATGAGACCATAGACAAGTTAAAAATGATGGAAGGCCGTAACTCAAGCATTCGTAAAGCAGTAAGAATTGCTTTTGATCGTGCTATGAATCATCTGAGTAGAGTACATGGAGAGCCAGTCAGTGACTTCAGTGATATTGACTAACAAAGGTTCTACCAAGGCGTGAAAAATACCACACGCAGACTCGAACTCTACTAATGAACTTCTTTGTCTAAAAGAATGTATTGAAGATTCAACCCCTTAATTGTTGATTCAGTGGCTGAGTTCTGCAAACTTGAAATAGTAGAGCAATTCTTCTAAATCACCATTGCCATATTGATTAATGATTTTATCGTGTTGTAGTTTGGAGGATTTTCCACTAAACCTGTTAAAATGTCTTGTTCATAGTGTTCATAATTGTACATAAATGTATATTCAACACTTAACTTATTCTGATTTTAGAGGTAGCTCTTTAATTCTTTTTATAATTTTGCAGGGGAGGGAGTCGGTTTTTGTTTCCATGCCTTTTTTTTTTTTTTTCCCCCTTTTCCTTTTAGTTACCTAAGCACCATCTTCCAGCTTAAGGTGTTTAGTGGATTTGAAGCCTAATATCAAAATGACATCAAATATATGTTTGCCTAAATCGTATACAATATGGTGCTGCTTGTATCATTTCTTCCTTGGTCTGTAGCTTCTGAAAAAGACTTCTGAATGTTTGTGTAAATCATTGCTCTTTGCACAAAGTACCACGTATTTAAGATTGATGTAAATTTACAGTTACAAATATGTATTTTAAGAAAGGAAGTTGCATTATTTTGGAGGGTACTTTGTGAGAAAGACGTGAAGAGAAAAATTATGCTATGTACATCACTTGCAAATCACCAAAAACACTCCATTGTTGCCCAAAATAACTTCTTATGATTGTTTTTGTTTTAAACAAACCTGGCTTAAAGCCTGCAAGCACATTATTTCTTTCAAAACCATATCCCATTTATCTCCCATGGATTATATTATGTTGCTATAGTTGCCTCCCTGTGTTTTATTTATTGTAGAAAATGTATTAATTTGCTTTATAATGAAAAATAAAATTGACAAATATATTGATATGCATTTTTATACAGGCACATGAGAAGACAACTTGCTTTGGGAGAAAAATGTATTGGAAATTGTATAAAATAACTTGATGGTTTGTGTGTAATTTGATTTTTTTTGTAACTTGTAATCTTTTGTTTCCAATGAGGGGATTTATGTAACTTTTAATTTAGAACACTTTGGTAGCAATAGAAACTTTGGATACATTTTTGTATGGTACATGTGATGTATATAGAATTAGTACTTTATTTTTATTTTTAAGAAGTAAAGCATTATGTTTGGGCAGGGGGAAGAAGGAGGGTGGGTTTCCAGAACTGCATTTTTATATTAAAAACAAAAATAAAGTCAAGATATTGATTGTTGTAGCTACTTTATTCCTACCTTCACTGAAATACTGAATTTGTAACAATGAAAATGGCAAGGTATGTTTGCAATGTGATTTATAATGACTCCATTATTTATAAATGCACTGTGTTTGAACTCTTTTGCAGTGATATCTTAAATACTGTACCAAGTTATATAATATGAAACACCAAATAATGCATATGAATGCACGAAGTATTTATGCCCAGCTTTTTTTATAAAAGATTAGCAAATACAGCAAAACCAATACTTTTTAAATCTTTTTTTAAAACTTCATTGAATAGCATACTTCATTGTTAAACCTGCTTGAATCTTTATTTTAAAGGGACAATTACTTTTTAAATAGTTTTTAATGTTTTTATTCTCTATTGTTTGTAATACCCCCTTAGAAGCTTGAAATAAAATTTCTTTCTCAACTGTTAATTTTGTCCTGAATTGACCCCCTGAAATTTTGCTGTAGTACCCATTCTCTTCCTCCATGACTGAGTTGTTTAAAAAGTTGCTAGTTCAAGAACCCGATTGTTTTCTTGCTGTGGCATGCAGAGTCATCCTTACTCAGACCTGTACATGGTAGGTATTCCACTTGCCTTATATTAGCTGAAACCAGTTGCTTATAGTGGATTCTAATAACAACAGAGATTATGTGGATTCTTTAAATTTGACTGGATAAATTTCACAAATGATCGAGCAAATTGTTGTGCTAGTCTTAATAGTAAACATTGCTTTAGGGGGACTAATGACAGCAGGTATCTCATCAGGACTGCCTTTGTAGTGCTGTGCTGTGATAGAAACAATTGCTACATCAGATAGAAAACTTCGATAAAAATCGTTTACCTTGATTAGAAATTGTGGAGTGACTTGAAAGATCTACCGTATAACCATGCCCATCTTAGAAGGGAATGGAGCTCAATTTGCACCGGTATTAAGACAGTAAAACGAGTTGTGATCTCTTAAAATTGTCTTTTAAGAGAGTCTTCATAAAATAGCATAGTCTTCATAAAACAGCATTAGATCATATTTCAGGCTTGGGCCCTCAAATCTCCTCAAAACTAGTGTGTATGATACTGAATGATGTTTCACAGCCTCATTCAGACAAGCAGTGAAAATGATTTTTTGGGTCTCTCAGATTCTGGGAAAACTAATTACAGCTTGGAATGGGGAGGTGGCAATTTGTTACCTATATAATAAGAATTTTGAAGTCTGTAAAGCATGAAATCAGAGTAAAAAGGGGATATACACACACTGAGAAGGTTTTCCAAGTTGTTTCATCAAGTGCTGGTAGTAGGAGTTTTGAAGGGAAGAAGTTCCCTTTTGCAAATAATAGCAGTTAATTCTATTATTTTGTACAAAATTGTTTAGCACATCTTGAGTGAAATCTTTGATTTGAATTTGGCTGAGAGTTCAAGTTTCACTTTCTGAATTTTACCTGCAGAAGCAGCTCCATGAAGAAGGCAACTTTGCTTTCTTGGTCTTACAGGTATCTGCATGCACTTAAATGAGTTCCAAGCAGGAAAGCATTATTATTGATTAAAAGCCACCCATTAAACATCCTGTGTAAAACACAATGCATATTCTTTTCATGCACACTCACAAGAAAGGTGATATTTTTCTTTTGTATATGTAGCAGAAAGTGAAATTGCCTGGAAACTATCCCAGGAGTTCTTCTCAGAGGTTGTCTGCAGCAATGGTTTTAGTTTTTCCTAGATTCTTACAATATCAGAGATGATCCTGAGGCCTTGCAGATTGTGTTTGAGTTTAAAACATCTCCTCAGACTTGTTACTATACAGTGTGACTTCTGTGTTTTTTAAGGGATTTCATACCTATTTAGAAAAGGAAGCTTGATCTCCAAAGGCGGGTTTTTTTGTTTTTTTTTTTTGTTTTTTCCTCAAAGTTATCGTCTAACCCAGTACAATAGTCAGATGAATATACACCTAGAAGTATGTACTTCCCTGTGTTTTGGACCAAGTAGTTATATGACACCATTAATAACTGTAAAATAGTAGTAGAGAGGAAGTTAGTATTGTAGTGGAGGAAAAAGAAGGGGAAAAACTCAAAGGTATCTCATGGTTTTCTCAGGGAGAGTTACAGGGATGAACGCAGGGGTGTAGATTTGCCTATTCACTTGCCGATTCCAGTGTGGTTACTTCTTACTAATGAAGTGTGAGAATTCTAGATCAGAAGTTAAACCTAAGTTAAAACTTGTTATCCTTTATATTAAAAATATAAGAAATAGTAGTATATAGTTTTTACAAGAAAAAGTCATGAGTAGGTGATGACTTCTTTCTTTTTTTTTGATGATCTGTATCACTGATGCACCATTTTAACTCCGTGGCTGTTGCAATGTATTCTTTATTGTGATTTTTGTATCCTTACAGTAGAGGGAGCAATGCACCCTCTATTTGAATATTACCTTTTTAAAATTCTGCTGTTAAAACTAGTTGCTGATAAACAATATTTTCTTCTTCTTGTATTTTTAGTGTGTTAAAGGCAGCTTTCTCTGAAGTGCTTCTTGTTGCAAGTAAGCAAATTGGGGATTTTGTTTTGTTTTGTTTTACTGTTTAAAAAGCTAGTGCATAGTCAGAAAACCTGGAGTTACTATTCTGTCTCACTTTAAATCTCTACTCGTGACAGGCAAGTAGCTTTTTACACTGAGTTTTATTTGGCTGTTTGGTTTCTTTTCAGATGTGTGGTGCCATGCGTTAATTTTATAATGTTACAAACAGAAAATTACACAGAGTTGCTTCCTGCTAGTAGCATGGTGCAAGTCAAGTGCATAGTAACTGATGACAAGAATATTCAACCTTGGAGGTGAAGGTGAGAGATGAGACAGCCACTCTGTCCTGCAAGCTGGCAAAGAAAGGTTATCTTTAGAATATTCACTGGGGAATTAAATAAGCTTAGTTCTAAGTGTGATTATCTGGGTTAGAGATCATTATCTGTGTAAGGAAAGCACTTTTCTGTGAGTCTGTACCACAAACAGAAGTGACATGCGAACGGAGGGAAGATTTACTGTCCACGTTTGATTTAACAGCTCTCAGTCGTCTTGTGTACGTTTTTATGTAACATCATTCAGTTATAATGGCTTACCTATTTTATCAATTCTTGAAAGATTTATTTCCCCCAGAGCTTCTCTGATGAGGTAGAAAAGTAATGAATTGAAGCTAGTGAAAGTTTTTGAAGTTCAAATTACTCTTGGAATAAAATCGTAGTGCTGAAAGCAAAAAGCTTTTTAAAAACTGTATGTAATTTGGTGTTTGATGGGAGGGGGCTGTAAATTTAGTTTAATCTGTCTACTTTGTTCAGCTTTTTTCACTGCCTGTACAACAGAAACTTCTATGAAGCCTTTGTATCTCTGCCAGTCAAGGAGGAAAATGCAAGATCTCAACATCTATACCTCAGGTTATTTGAGATGCTTTTCTTAGTTTTTCCTTTGTAACTTTTTGTCCTGAATTCCCATTTCCCATTTTTCAATCCAATATCATTCAATAGACTTAAAGTATAGAATAAGACTCTCTAAATTCCTGTATTTGTTTTGAGTGTGATGTATTATTAATTATTAGTTGTTAATATTTTGATTCTCATAAAATTGTTGCAGTGTATATATATAAATTACACAGTCTTATTTGTTCTTTCCTTTAATAGGTAATGAAATGTTTATGTTCTTTGGTATTCTAGCAGTCCTGTATTTGGCTTCCTGAAGCCAATAGATTACATACAAATTCTTTGGATATTTTGTGGAAAAAGGTAAATAATTTCATCCAAGAGAAGGCATAAAGGTGCTTCTTAAATGAATCTATCCAAGACTTTCATTTTTCTTAAACATTCTCATATTTTACTCATTTGATAAATTAATCTGGGTCAGAATAGGCGACTTCTCAAAATATTATGATGAATATTTTAAAGCTGTAGTTTTCTGAAATGCAGGACTATTGAGCCTCTACCACTATCCATTTTCTGTGCCACCATATATATTCTAACAGTTGGGAGGCGTTTTTTACATTCTTCGGCTGACCATCAGATTTACAAATCATGCCCATGAAAACTGCTGTTCAGCCCACTGTGGGAAGTGAGCAGTGTAAATGGAGTAAGGAAAGGTAAATTGGAGACATCTAATACTAAGTAGGTTCACTGTCAACGTTTCACTTCTGGTCTAGAAAACAGTATAGTTCTGTCAGTGGAGGAAGGACCTGTAAAAAATGGGTGTAATGTCTTAAATATTCTGTTGTACACAAGATTAGTCCTGATTCTTGGACCCTGAGCTGAGGTTGTTGATTTCTGTGAGCTTTAGCTATGGCGAATGGATGATTGTGTCAAATCCCTGAAACATGCCTAAGATCATCTCATTTTTCAAAGTACGAAATTCACAAAGATTTTGGTAACACTTAAAGTTAGTTTAAATTATGAGCAATAGGTGGAGATAGGAACACTAAGACCAAAGCTTAATGAGAAATTCATGTATCATTATATTTTCTTTTTTGCTGCTGGATCTTGCCTGCATAGTCTGTCTATAATAACAGATTTTCATATTATTGCAAACATTCTTTACTAATATTTTGAATGAATACATGTCAGCATATTTTCCAGAACAGATCAGTGTTGTTATTTGCATTTTACAGATGGGGAAACTGAGCTACAGCAGGGGAAATGGTATGCCAAAATGAATCAAGAAACTTGTATTTGCTAAAGTACATTGCAACGTTCAGTCTGCTAGACTTCATATTCCATTAGACTTGGTTTTTTTTTTTTTTTTGGTATCACTTCTGATCTTTTCTTAAACTTACTTAAAAATAGAATTAAAATAAAGGTTATGACGGTGTTCCTAAAATGCTGCTTCTTAAACTTCTCCTTAGCACATTTATATGTACCATTTCAAAATGTTAAAATGAAAATAAATAAGGTGGATAAGCTCATCTTATCTTGTAAAACAAACTACTTAAAAAAACAAAAAATTGGCCTAGCTTTATTTATTG